GAGTGAGGGAGGTAAACCTGTAAAAGATAAAGGAGGACAAAGCAGGACTGGCTGGGAGAGCCTCAGACAGTGCTGCAGATGGGACAAGAGTCTTGGTGAACCCACTTGGGAGCTCTGGAGCAAAGAAGACCTGTTAGAATCTCACATTGGGCAGAAATTACCTAGTACCCTGCTGTGCTCACTCTTTGACTGGAGGCTGCCTGGAAGAGCATGATCTTGGCTCAAATGATGCAGAAGATCCGAAGGCACTTCAATTCAACTGGAAGGTTGTTGAAGGAAAATGTGAACACGGCACCTGCATGGCTGCCCCATTTACATAATCATACAAAAAAGTCTCTGGTTAGTAGATAATATTGTGGAACCTAGGAAAATAAATACTGGCAACAAAAAAAGTTATATGGCTTTCAGACATTGGCATTTATTCAAATTTCTTTAGTAATCTATCAAAAATATAGAAATTAAAACTTATTCCAAATAATTGAATAATTGTCACAATCTAGATTAGTGTACTTTGATTATGTGTTTTTGGTAGTATTTATTTATTAAAGAAGGTAGTAAGCTAATGTGATCATTATGACATAGTAATAATAAGTCCCATTTATTGGGCGCCAGGAGCCAGATATGGTGTGGGTATTTATCATTTGATCTCTCATAATCTTCAGAACTCTGCATGAGAGATGTTAGTATCTCATGCACAAGTTAGGAAAGGAAGGCTCAGAGAGATTTAATAACTTGCCTAAGATCTCACAGCTCATAATTGTGAAAGCTATCATTCCTAGTTCTATCTGACTTCAGTTCTGGTGAATGTGCCACTAAGCCTCTGAATGTAACACAGAAAATAATTATTTTTTTCTAAATCTTTGAATTTTCTCAAGGAGTATATAATTGTTAAATGGTAATCAACCAACAAGCAATATTTACTGAGTAACATCTAAATGCAGACTTACATTATATGAAGAAAATCCACCACTAAGGAATTTGTGTTCTACTCCAGGGGCCTGGCACACATTTTCTTTAAAAGACCACATAGTAAATACTTTCTGCTTTGCAGGCCATGTGATCTCTATGACAACAACTAAAGGCTGCTGTGGTAGAATGAAAGTCACCATAGATAATATGTAAATGAGTGGGTGTGGCTGTGTTCCCAGAAAATTTTATTTACAAAAATGGGAAGCCATGAGTTAGCAGCTCCAGTTTACTGAAACACTGTTCTAATAGATGATACAAAGCATCAATATATAAGAGTTTTGTGAACTCAAAAGAGAAAAATACAGTTAAATTTTTTCTTTTTAGTAATAAGGCACGAAGGGTATCTGATTACTGAGGAAATTGTCAGCAAGGAATAAGCAGTATATAGTAGCTTAATTAATAAACACTTCCATTAATTAATAAATGTGGAATGATTAGTTGATAAAGTGGGAAGGAAGCAGGAAATCATCATTAATTCTGAAAGCCAGGGTGTGAATGGTTTCTCTTTCAGGATCAACTTGGAATAGTGAGATAAGCAATGATTTAAAACACCTAAACTGTAGCACAAATATAGGAGCAATTGGTTGTGTGGTTTTAGGCATGTTATTTCTATGAATTGTAAAATAAATGAAGGTGTTAGGCTGGAATCTTAACCAGTTTTCTGAACTGGGGCATCTAAACAATACAATCACTCCCATCAGTAACAGTGGCTCAGTTCAACGGTAAGAAAGCATGTATGAATCTTAGCTTCTGGAAATGGCGCTGCTTTTTGGATTTTTTTTTTTTTTTTAATAGTCATTTAAGCACTACATTTTTCATTGTAGGAATAGCATTTAATTTAAAAACTAAATTTCTATCTCTTCTACTAGTCCATCAGCTCCACAAGGGCAAGAACCTTGTGTGTTTTTTTCCTTCATGTATTTATAGTGCCTAGTTCAGTAACTGGCTCTAATAGACTCTCCATAAACAGATGTTGAATGGATGGATGAATGAATCCCATTGAAAAATCACTGGAGTAGATGATCTCTAAAGACATCTACAACTCTCAACAGTCTTTGAGGTTATTTTTATTTATAAAGTCTCCTCTGTCTTTACTCTGATTTATTGATATTTTCCTCTGTGTTCTGCCAAGTACAGTGTCACTGAGGACCAGTTTTTTACACATGCTTCAGAATATGTCAACCTCCTTGTGAAATCCAGTAAATGCCTTCATTCTGCCGAAGAGGCAGTATTTTCCTTGAGACTCAGACCGCTAAGGTAGTTAAAACCCGCCTCTCGTATATTAAAGAAAATGACTTGAATGTGAATATCTCACACTTACTCAAAAACTGAAAAATAGAATTGAAGTCATTTCAACTTTGTCATGTGAAAATCTTATCTCAACAAGATACAAAATAAATGATATTTTCTTTAAAAACTCTTGGAAAATTAAATGTGTAACTCATAATCATTGTCAAATCATTGCATTGATTTCTATGCCACAAATACTCAGCAGGCAAGATGTCGTTTCTCTTAATCTTTTTGTGTATAACAACTGGTATCTCTCCCATGCAACTTTACAGCGGATGTTTACTGATGGGTTTTCTGTCCTGCTTTGTTTTTAAAAAGGAACATAAGTGCGTTTTTAAATCCCTTGGTGGTGGTCTTAACAGGAAAAAAATACTTAGTTGAGATCTTCTGTAAAAAGTCCTTGATCATTAAAAATGAAAGGTTGATTATCTCTTTCACTGATGGAAAATATTAACCAACAGTATTGGAAAGTATTCCTAAAATACATTAAAAAAAATAGTTTTTATAGAGTAACAAGAATTTCCTAGAAGAACTATAACTCCTTTTCTTTTTTCTCACGTCGTCTTTCCTGAGATACCCTGTAAACTAAGCTTCTGTAACATTTTCTAGTGCTGCATCCGCCCAGGGCATCCTGGGGCTTGATGAACCTAGTGCGAGCACAACCAGGCCTGGAAAGAGCATTAGGAACCACAAGGAAGAGCCAACGGAAGTGTTCTAAAGCATGCTAGAATGCTTCTGCTTGAAAGAAGGGACAACCAGCTGAGTTGAGCTGATAAAAGATTTACTGTAAATAGCCAGCCTGGGAGAAGTTGAAACTATACATCCTTTCCTAATTAAAAATGAGATGAAAGGAAAGCGTGCAATAAGTCACCAAACATAGGCGAACAGAATAGACCTTTCTTTTTCTTCTATTGTTTTAGGGCTTCCTATTTTAAATACCACGGAGATATAACTAAAATAGAGAGCAAGCTGAGAAATAGCTCTCTGGATTTTCCATCTCACTGACTCTGGCAAGGAAGTGATCCTGGGTCTTTGGGGCAAAATTGTTTCTTCGTAAACCATTCAAATTAAACAATGGTCCAGGATAGGTTTGTATTTTTATAATAATCTTTCCCAACACACAGTTAAATAGAATCATTTAAATTCAGTGGCTTTCCAGCCCAATACTGGGACATACCTTTACATTTCTCAGACTCGATAGTGGTTGTAAAATTCATTTTTATTGCCCTGCTAGTAAGATTCAAGACTAATGCCCCACAATATTATGTAGCCTTTATTGTCTGTGGTTGTTAGATTTTTGATGCTATATTTAATCAGTTAACCAGTTGCTATTGAGTTGACTCCAACTTATGGCAACCCCGTGTGTGTGAGAGTAGAACTGTGCTCCATAGGGTTTTCAATGGCTGATTTTTTTTGGAAGTAGTTCACCAGAACTTTCTACCGATGCGCCTCTGGGTGGACTCAAACTTCCAACCTTTCGGTTAGCAGCCTAGTGCGTTAACCGTTTGCACCCCTCAAGGGCCCCATATTTGATTATTCGTGTCATGTTAAACATTTTTTTTACAATCAATGACCATTTATTAAGCACCTGCTACTTCTCAAGCATCATATCAGCTGCTGCAGGAAAACAATGAGTCAGATATGAAGTCGGTCCTCAAGTTGCTCACAGCCTGGAGTGGGTGACAGTCATGTGATTCATGAAGATACAGTGGACTAAGTAATATGATAAAGGTAAAGATTGAATGCTCCAGCAATTCAAGAGGTCTACCTTACTCAGGTAGGAAATGCTTTCCAGAGAAATGATGTCAAGCTAAGTTTTGAAAGATTCCTACCAGTTTCCCAGAAAAGGAGATAAATAGAATGTAGTGCTATTTCAAGAGATCCACATTGAGAAGAACCTTGAAATAACATGTACATTAATTTGTATTTTATCCTGAATCTAATGAGAAGCCATTAGAAAAATTAAACAAAAGAGAGGCATAATCAGATATGTATTTCAGGCAGATATGTTTCACAACGTTGTGAAAAATAAATAAAAGTGAGACAGACTGGAGGCTGGGAGACAAGAAAGGAGGCACAGCAAAGAGGCGAGAGGTGGGTGCCATCTGCCAGTACAGGCCAGGAGAGATTCAAAACAGTAGTAAAACCAATTGAAGTCTGTCTGCTTTTTAATAGTGCCATGCACCAGCAATTCCAAACATCAGGGTTAAAATTCTCCAAATTTCTTCTCCCTTCAGTTCCCACTCTAAAAAACAGGGATTCTGTTACAGCTAGAAGAGAGCACAGGGTCAAAGGAGGATGAGTTTATAAGACTAAAGAGATCTGTGAATATGTTTGTATAATAAAAGGACAGAACCAGCATAGAGGAAGTGTTAAAGACGTTATAATCGGTAAAGCAGTAAGGACACACAGTGTGCAAAACACTTGAATGATTTAACCTTGAACAGAAATAGGCCTCTAATTCCCAGAAGAATCCTTGATCGAGATTTTTTTCATTTGTAAATTGTACATCTATTTTATTTCTTAAATTAATTCATAAAATCAAATTACATTATTAAATGCAATTTTCAAAATTACATTGATGTTTCAAAAATAATGTCCCTATTCCAGATGTGACCGGTACTGAGTTATTTAATGGATTTAATGTAAAATTATTTTTAAATGCATTGTGTTAATAGATATATCCCAGTAATTTCTCGCATTAAATTAATGCATTATGCATTTGCATTTATTTCACACAGGTAACAAATATTGGGTGTTCAAGGACACTACTCTTCAACCTGGTTACCCTCATGACTTGATTACTCTTGGAAGTGGAATTCCCCCTCATGGTATTGATTCCGCCATTTGGTGGGAGGACGTTGGCAAAACCTATTTCTTCAAGGGGGACAGGTCAGTACACACAGCTCATGAGGGAAGCAATTAACTAATGTTTGAATCACGGTAGAGAAGTCAATAATTTTGGTCTGTCATAGCATGGTATTAATTCTGCCATTTGGTGGGAGGACGTTGGCAAAACCTATTTCTTCAAGGGGGACAGGTCAGTACACACAGCTCATGAGGGAAGCAGTTAACTAATGTTTGAATCACAGTAGAGAAGTCAATAATTTTGGTCTGTCATAGACATGTAATGTTGATGGTGAATCCACTTGTGTGGATATAAACACAAGAGTTAATGGAGTCAAAAATATTTTTGAAATATATTTTTAAATAATATTCAAAATAATTTGATATTCAATTATCAAATATATTCAAATAATTTGATTATTTTGTATGTAAATATTAAAATAATGACTTTCTTATGAATGTGCATATACATGTATATAGTATATATTATTTTATTTCTCCAAAATCTTAATATACCTACAGAGCAGTGTAGGTAATGTATATATGTATACTTGCTTTGCATTTCCTTATAAATAAACTTCCTTTATTTTTAAAAAAAAATTTTTTTTAGCACAGGCATTTTGTGTTTTCATACTCAACATCACATTTTTACATTTGACACTCAATTAATTGTGAACATTTTCAAATGATTTCACTTTAGGTGTGGGTTCTGTTTCTTAAGAAGCTATTTACATAGGTACCATCAAACAGGTATTAAGAACTGTAAGTCATCATAACTATTACTGAACTAAATACTTTTAGCTTTCAGCATGATGTTATTTTGTCTGTTATAATCTTTTCCTGTTATGACACTGCTAACAGTATTCAGAAATAGTATATGTATTAGTCATGTGACTTACAGAAGGTACTAGGTATACATAACTCCGCCCTCTGCCCACTTTTTGACAGATAGTATAAATACCACCAAAACCAAAACCAAACCTGTTCCATCAAGTCAATTCCAACTCATAGTGAAGTTATACAACAAAACAAAGCCACATCGTTTCCCATGGAGCAGCTGGTGGGTTTGAACTGCCAACCTTTAACAGCCATTCCCTTAACCACTACGCCAGCAGGGCTCCTTAGTATAAATACCAGTGCATGTAAAATATATGTAAGTTAAAGATTATGTTTTTGTTAATTTAAAGTAATGTTAAATAGAAAGGTAATAAAAATGTAAAATTAAATTGTAATTGCACTATTACTAGGTAGGTCACAAGGTAACACCTAAGTATTCCTTATTGGTATATAGAAGGACCTAAGTATGACATTTTACTGCCTTTTACACATGAAGTTAAAAAAAAACACACACATATACATACACAAATATGAAGGGCAGACTGTCATGTCCAACAAGCCACTATTGATTTTGCCTTTAATGTTTTCAACTCTAAAAGAAAAATGACTAAGTATATTGTCTTAGTCTGGGTTTTCTAGAGCAGCAAAACCAGTAAAGCGTGTTTATATATATATATGTACATATGTGTGTGTGTGTGTGTGTGTGTA